GCGCGCCCTGCGCTGCCTGCAGGCCCGGGAGAGCCACCGCTACTACGGGCCGCTGCTGGACGCCATGGTCCACCTGGCCTATGCGCTGGGCAAGGACTTCGTGTCCCTGCAGGCCCGGCTGGAGGAGAGCCGGCTGCGGAGGCCCGCGGACCGCAGCGTCACGCTCAAAGAGCTCACGGTGCGCGAGTACCTGCCCTGACCCCGCCGCCGGCGGCCCCTGGGCTCCGATGGTGCCCTTTGGGGCTCCGATGGTGCCCTTTGGGGCTCCGATGGTGCCCAGGGAACCCTCTGTTTGTCTCGTTTCCCTTGGGTGCCGGGCTCACCTCATCTTAAAGCCAGGCTTGTCATCCTAGCCATTCAGGGGACTGAGATCTGCGGATGGATCATGGTTCGAAGCCAGCCTGGACAGAAAAGCCCGTGAGACACTTATTTCCCATAAACTACCATAAAAGCCAGAAGTGGCACCGTGGCTTACACGATGGAGTGTTAGTCCTTGAACAGAAAAAGCTTAGGGACAGAGCCTAGGCCCTGAGTTCAAGGCCCAGGACCGGCACACACAAAAAAATCCCTACAAGCTCAGCTGCCCAAGACTTTGGGAATGATATGGAAATTACCTGTTTCTGTGCCCTGCCAGAGGAAAAATTTATGTCGAGTGTCACCCATAAAGCAGCACTTCATTTTCTGGCCAGAAGACTCTCTCCAGCGGCCCAGGCTCCTTCCTCTCCTCCTGTGGGCCTGAGGGCTGCTTGCAAATATTCCCAGCCATCCTGACGTCTATCTTTTCTCCTGTAGAGCCACCCCTCTCCCTCAGCAGGTTCAAAACTCATATTGCCTCTCCAGGTCAGCTTCTCCCAACCCTCCCCAGGATGACGTCTAGTCCGATGATCTGACCTGATTAGTGATCCAGGCTGGTTTGGATCAATATACGGAAGGCTGGGACCCTGTGAAGACCTAAGCCATCTGGCTGAGCTTATCAGGGTGCATTAAGGGACTGTAATTTGAGAACATTAATATGGGGAACCACCTTGTCCTGGATAGGGGTCTGGCTCAAAGGAGAGAGGTCAAGGTACTCATGGACCAGCATTCACCAGACTGCACCAGATGCTGTTCAACAGCGTCTCCTTGTGGTGGTCACTGTAGTGTTTGTCAAGAAAGTCTTTAAGTCCCTGAATACTTGAGGAGGAAGACATTCAACTGAGCATATGAGAAATTAAAGTGCTGAATGGAAATTTTTAAGTGGTGAGTTGATTTGTAATGTTCAAGCAGATTTGATAAGTTATCAAATGTAACATGTTCTCAGTTGTAAAATGCACCAACTATTCACCTAGAAAGACAAAAATGTGTGACATGAGAGGTTAACATTAGATTCTAGAAACAAAAGAAGAAAAATCCCAGAGACCAAAGTGTTAGGTTCTCAATGTCAAGGTCAATGTGGGCTGAGCTACTGCTGTGGTTTGAATGCCCCACCAAAACTCCCCCAACCCATCATGGAGGGTAGGGGTAGGACCTCAGCAGGTAGGTAGGTAGGTTAAATGAGACTGAGGATGCACCTGTGACTTCCTAAGAAGAGATTGACATTAACACACTTGCTGTCACCATACACAACTCTGGCACTGCAGAGTCTTCATGCAAGAAGGCCTTCATCCAGTGCAGACCTCCAGGATCTGGGCTGAATAAGCCTTCTTTCTTTACAAGTTTCCCAGTCTGTGGCAGGTACTCACAGCAACAGAAAAGAAACAAGGACACTGCTATGCCTGCAGTTCAATCAAACTTAGCACTGAGTGGAGGATGGGAAGGCAGCCTCTGAGAGCTTGGGCTGCAAGCTAGTGTCCACCTTTAGTTGGGGACTGAGAGCAAAACAGCATGACCTGAAATAATTACAGCAGAGGGGTCGTGTCGAAGTGGGTTGCAGTGGAAGTGTTGTTGCCTGTGTGAGGAAATCCACAAGGATCTAGATTGGTGGAAAGGGTAAGCACCGAAATGCAGAGGGAAAATGTACACCGAAGCCAGTGCTGGTTAGTGGTGCACTCCTGTAATTCTAACTATTCAGGAGGCTGAGACCAAGAGGATTGTGATTTGAAGTCAACCCAGGCAGAATAGTCCTTGAGAGTCCGTCAACAAAATAACTACAAAAAGCCAAATTGGAAGTGTGGTTAGAGCAGTAGAACACCATCCAAGAGCAAGAAAGCCAAGTAAGGAGGGTAATGAGGGGATGTAAGAGGATGAATGTGGATGTGACAGTTGGTTCGCCTGTTTAAAACCTGTTGGAATGTTTTAAGTAGGATGAAGAAAGTGACAGAGGGAGTGTGGTTGATACATTGTGTGCATGCGTGGAGACGCATGCATAACTGATATATGCTAATAATAGTAAGAAGAGAAAAGGCAGAGCTGCAGAGTGGGTGCACAGGCCCTGAATTCAAGCCCCAGGACTGGAAAATACATAGAGAAAAAATCTATGAGATAAAAAGGACACACAGAAGTATATAGAGGTTTTTCTAACACCCTCCCAAAGGGAAGGGCTAGCCTTCACAGACTGCAGAGGTAGTGGGCTTATTCCAGCTTCCAGACAGGGAAGCTTTGGGCCCCAGCCACTTCCTGACCATTCAAAGTGCTGGTCTTCCCGGTTCTCCAACAGCCTTGGCCAGTGGGTGGGCTGGAGATTCTGCTGGTCACCCACACATGGTGTCTTCATCAGCGACAGTTGTCTGTGCTCGGATGGCCGCTGTGGCCATCTTGCGTGGATGATTTATCGGCTCTGCCAGGAGACTTGTTCGTTTCTTTGGTTTCTGGAGCAAGTCTCATGGAGGAACTTTCCCCAGGGCCCAGTCACCGAGCTGGAGTACCCACTTCCTGCCTGCCTAAGCCCCTCCCTCCATACCTGCATTGCTTAGTCCTTGTTCAGGAGACTTTGGGGGAGCTGGGACCAGAGGTACAGAAAAGTTGTCCACCATGCTCTGGGTGGGGCCTGGGGACCAGAAGCACCTCCACCGAAATGTGAACCCTCCGGCCCTTCTACATATGTTCAATGGGAGCCCTAAACCCATCCCCAAGTGATTCCTATGTGTGCATCTTTAAGTTCAGTGAGGCTTGACTTGATGGGACCTTGGAGAAAATCACACACAGAGCCTGGGCAGGCCAGTGTCCTCTGGTCTACCCCTGCACAGCCCCTCTTCTCCACAGATACTCATTCCAGGAGCTCTAGGGAGCAGCCAACTCCAGGTGCCCACCTCACAGACACAGCATGAACTGGTTCTGGGCACGTGGTTCCAGAGCCTTGTGCAATTGGCCAATGAGAACTTACCCATTCCAACAAAGCAATGAAAGCTTGCCTTGATCTTGGTCAGAAAGTAGCCTGGGTTCCTCCGCTTCAGCTCAAGCTGAAGTCCCAATTCTGATTTTGACACCATCTCCTTTTTACATCATTACCACATCAAAGGACCCCAACTCTGGTGGCACTTGGGTCAGGCCCAGATAAGACTGAGCCCCCTAGAGACAGGACAAGGCACTCCACGAACCCATGTCCAGGGGGCTACGTGCCGTCTCTGCATGGGCCATGTTCTTGCCCCATTAGGTGGATTTACATGAATGCCTGAGAGGTTATGGGATGTGTCTGGGGGTCACACAGCTGCCTATTGGAAAAGCAGGAAACAGCTCAGGGCTATTTGGTGCAGAGAAGAGGAGAGGAGTCATGTCCCCGGTCCTCTCACCTGGTCGCACCCTTCAAGGTCATCTCACTCACCTTTGTCTACAGAGAGGAAAGCAGAAGGGGAGGCGACTCACTCAAGGTCACAGTGAGACAGGGACAGTGCCAGCCCTGGGGTGTCCCACATCAAGGTGCTCTCAGAGGCCAGAATAATTCTGGGTCCAAGTCCCAAGACTCCCTGGGGAGCCACCCAGCCAGATCTGGCTTGGCTTCCTGACTGGAGACTTGGTTCAGGGGGACTCAGACCCCAAAATTAGCATATCCTTGCCTCTACTTCCCACTGCTAATCCTGAGCTGGGACTACCTTTGAACAGCTAAACCAGAACCAGTGCCGCCTGCCAGCAGAGGTAGGACTCCCAATCTGTCCCAGCTGGCCTGTCCCCAATGGCTTCTCCCAGATTCCACAGCCAGGCTGCACTGGCTCACTCCACCATGCCTACATTTTCACTTAGTCACATGTCCCCTGCATTTAGGGACCAACAATGCAATCAACTGTGTTGTAACCTGCCACTTGCTCCTTTCCTTTTGGCAATCTCCTTTTACGTATGCAAATTTATTTCAAAAAGAAACTTCCTCTTACTACCCCCAAGTAACAAATCAGAGTCACCTGCTGTAGTTCGATGGCAGCTGGATAAACACCAAGAAACCTACAATGTTATGAGGCCCCAGTGGGCCTCTACCCAGACAGGCTGCTGTGGGTCCTTGGCTAATGGAAAAATTAGGGCTAGGGACAGAGAAGCAAATGCAGTGATTGTGATTGGTAAGCTGAGGCTTCCCATGGAAAACACCATCCAGGAAATAAGTGTCTGATTCTGTGTCCTGTGCTGTCACAGGCCACCTGGGTCTGACTCATGCAAACCTGTGGCTCTGTTGCCTGCTGCTTGCCTGTGACCCCCAAGCTCTAGGCTCAGCTCTGCTTGCTCTCCAGCTCCGAAATTGGGGATCTGCTTTGATTTTGGCCACCTAGCCTCAGCCTTCAATGTCTCACAGAGGTGGCATCCAGGCTCCAGTGTCTGACTAAAGTCTGACATCTGGCAAGAGGGAGGGAATGCAAAGCCTGATTCTACAGCAGATTCTTGGATGGGTGTCTCAGCCCATCTAGCTGTGTCCCCCTGAGAGGCGGCCAGTGAGCCCGCTCAGCTCCTTTCCCAGTCAGGGGCCATACAGGCCTGGCACTCCCCAGCCATCCACCCACTGGCTCTGTGGACATACAGACCCTGTGGCGCTCCTGTCATGCCTCAGATTCTGGGAAGAGCCGAGTGTGACCTGTATAAGACAGATATGTACCTGCCCTTGAGGCAGCTCTTAGGGGCACCCAGAGGTTGGACAGAATTGTCCCCTAACCAGAGGTCAAGGAAGGCTTCTCAGGAGGTGCCATTCAATGGAGTCACAGGTGATATAAAGGCAGCCACCAAGCTACCAAGTGGAGCTCTGTGTGGGGAGTGGAATTTCCATCTCCAGTCCAGAACAAACTCTGACCCCAGGGGCCTCGAGGAGTCTGCTGGCTGTGCTCGAGGGTGAACAGACCACCTTGGCTCTTCACTGTTAGTGAATGGGGCATTGCAAAGTGAATGTGCTTTGTAGCCGTGAAACAAGAGACAATCCCGAATT